AGCAGAGCAAGCCCAATCTCCCCCAAACTGCATCTGCACCACCTCCCACAGCTGGGGCCCACCTGGGTTAGCTAATGGCCTGTTGGCATCCTGGTTTAGGCATGAGCCCAGCCAAGACCAGATGGATGCTTTCCCAGCCCCAAGCCCAGCCACCCCAGATGACCTGTGCACAGAGCAGGAGAAACCAAAAAACTAGGCAATGGCTGTCGGCTGGTCTGATAGCTTATCCCTGTGGCACTGGAGGACATACAAGGACAGCTACCCAAATGGGAATGGAAAGTCAGCACCCATTAGCGAGGGGTGTGCTTGCCCAGCCCTTCCTTCGCCTGTCGCAGCCCCAAGAGAACAGTGAAGTGAGGATGGGCACCGTTTCCACCCCTCCAGCTTCCGGCTCAGCAGCCCTGTGACAGCACCACTATTTACTCAGGGAGTGACATGTCCCAGCTTGCCCTCTAACTAACAAGGAGCTTGCCACAGAGAGCGTCTCAAAATACATTATACATGAGACACGGTTTCTGAACTAGCTACAAGTTTAGTTCTGGCATTGGCTTACTTTTCTTCAAGCACTCCCTTTAGGGGTGAACTCCTCCGACAAGCAGGTAAATGGAGTGAGGGGGAGAGCCTGGTAGGGATCTGCTTGGCCTCAGCAGCTGAGAGCCAGGCATTTCCGCAGGGTCCCTGAGGCTGCATGTGGCTGTGGGATTCCTGTCATCCCTTTCTAACACCCAAGCCAAGTAACTGCACTGATGGCCCTTACACTGCGTGTTTCAAGGAGAACCAACAATTTGCCCCAATTAAAAATGTGGACCCTGGGGCTGATGCCATGGTTTAGTAGGCTAAGCATCTGCCTGTGGCACTGGAATTCCACACAGGTGCCAGTTTGAGTCCCAGCGATTTTATTTCCAATCCAGCTCCCTGCTTATGGCCTGGGAAAGCAGGGGAGGAAGGCTCCATCCTTGCGCCTCATACCCATAAGAGAAACTCAAAAGAAGTTCCTGGCTTGGATCATCTCAACTCCAACTGTTATGCCCATTTGGGGAGTAAAGCAGTGGATGGAAGATTTCTGTGAAATGGGACCATTAATAGCAGCTACTTTCTTCTATAGCTGCAGTGGAGATGAAGAGAATTAATATTAAAGCGAAGCAGCAATCACTGCTAAAGACTGCCAGGGCTCCTGACAGATTTTAGAAATCCTCCTTCCATGGAAAACTCCCCACAACTGTCTCTAAGTTCACATCTCTCCAGTAAAATCCACCATTCCCTCCTGAATCCTGTGGGAAAGACTGTGTTAACAGCTGCCAAGATTCCAACTCAAATGAATCCCTCATGGCAGCAAATGCCAGTAATTAGAGAAAGGCGCCATATTTGCCATCCTCCCAAGTCATGCAGGGCCAACAAGCCTCCCAAGGCACTGAAGCAACGTGGAGTTCTCTGGAGGTGCTATGGGGAGAGAGGAGAGAATGCACTTAGTAGTGCTCGCTGAGCTCCAAAAAACTGGGGCAGAGCTTGAACCCACCATGGGCCGATCTGTAGAGTCAGCAAATGGAGAAGCCGGCACTGAAGATCTCTTCCTTCTATAAAAGTTACGGTTAGCTCCTGTCATCATCATGTTACATAACAAGTCACTGCAAACTTCAGTGCTTTAACAGCAGCCACACATCTAAAGGATGGCTGGGGGTCATCAGAGCCAGCAGGTTACAGGTGGGCCCAGGTGAGAGCCCCCTTCCTCTCATCTCTCATTCTCAGGACAAAAGCCAATAACACCCAAGGGCTCTTAAGCTCTCCCCTCCTCTCTCTCTCTCCCTCTCTCTCTCTCTCTCACACACACACACACACACACACACACACACCCCTTCTCTTGTTCCAGGTGACAAACCCATCACACAGCACAGCCCAATGACATCAGTAGGGAGAGACTTCTGGTACATGGAACTACTGCTAGATCCCAGGGCAAAGGTCACAGAGACAGAGCCAGCATGAAAGACAGATGAGTTCTCCAACAGCCCCGAAGATCCTCACCATTGGGTGAATACTCCACTATCAGAATCTGAAATTTCTTCATGTGGAACCCCATATTGCCTTTTTTAACCAGCCCCTGCAAATTAGGTCGCTGGACCTGGATGAGGGGAAGGATAGACTTGATAATAATGTTGTGCTTTCACTGGACACAGCTGACTCCTCTAAGACACTGTCTCATCCATGCCCCACCTCCCCCAAACCCTGCTTTCAGAGCCCTGCAATGGCATTTCTGCAGGTGATTCCAGCTCTGCTCACGGCTTTACCTCCCACACAGCTGCTCCCTGGGACAGAGGTGGGACTCTCCTCAGAGGCACAGACAGACGGTTCCTGGTGGGACCAGTTGTAGTCTGACCACTGCTTTGTTCTTCCCAGTATTCAACCTGGAGCACCTGCCCTATCCCATCAGCCTCCCCAATGAACAAAGCAACCCTCCTCCATCCCCAAACCCCATTCATTCATCCTCCTGCAGCACATCTTAGTGAGAGCTGCACAATGAAAGGGAAAACCATCTTCCACCAGACCATCTGCCATCATCCACTAGCATCAACCCTGCAACAGGACCGCATGTGCTCCTGGAGAAAGCAGGACATGAACTACAGAATCCAAAAAATAAAAGTAGGGGGGAGCCCAACAGGGGTTCCCAACTATACAACTGAGCACCTCTCTTTCTGAACCAATTCAGTCTGGCTTCAAACCACCTCTCCCGATAGCTGGGCTACCTTGGTATTAGGGATGTGACAGACAGTGCCCTACTCCACAGCCACAACTCAAGAAGTTTCTCTTCACTCTCACACCGCTCAGTTGAGCTCACATGTACATTCATCTTCTCCAACAACCCTCTGAATTTGCAGTTGCCACAGGAGGCCCCATAAGAACCCTTTATGTGCCTAAAAGCAGCCAAAAAAACAAAATCAAAAAAACAACCTCTGGCTTTCACGATGCTCTTTTAGTGCCCCCCTCAAATCCTCCTAGTACTCTGCGATGGGGAGGGCCACACCCAGAGCAAGTCACACTTGCCACGCAAAATGAATCATAAGCCCAAGTTGACACAAGCAGCCTACAGTTCAATTACCCAGGAGCACATTTGCTGATAATTACAAAGCTAAAAATGGATCCACCCTGCAAACCCCTTCCTTTCTCCCAAGCAAGCCGAGGAGGTGGCGTCACAACAACCAGCTCAGAGAGGCCCCACACAACAGAGTGTTCAGGAGACGAATTCCAAGAAATTTCTTGGAAGGTACAGTTCCCAGAAAGGGGTGATGTCAACAAGAACCATGAGCCCTCCCCCACCGTTCCCGACACACACTCAAAGCATGGGAATGTGATGTCCGAGGCCCATCCTAACTGAGAAAGAGACACAAGGTGGAGGCCAGGGTTGCCTCATCTCCTGAGGTCACTTAGACTTGCAGAGCAAGGGCTGGCCAAGGCAGATGCCAGTGGAACAGCTCAGCCCGACTCAGGGCCAGGGGTGTGTTTAGGGTGCTCATCAACATTCTCAGTGGGAGGCAAGGGTCAGGGTGATGACTGCTCCAGCAGCTCCGAGCTGGAGACACGACTTTCCTTTCGTTCTCACAACCCCTCTGTGATGGCACACCACTGTTACTACTCCCATCTGGGGTGGCACTCCTGTACACACCACGGGTCATACTGGTCGTAGGATAGAGGCGGCACATGGGAGTGGCAGCAACAGCTCACCAATTTAACTAACCCCCTTCAATTCTGAAGGGCCCACAATTGGCCAAGAGAAGACAGGGAGGTTTAAGTTCAGACTACAGAAGGCGGGCACTAGCAGGAAGGAAAGGAAGCAGCTGTAAGTTAGCACCTGAGCCAAGCAGGAAGACAGTGCTGAGTTAAATCTGATTTTAAAATGTCAGTAGTAAATGGCAGTCACAGTTGTCAAATTTATATAACGGACATGCCTGAAATGAAGAAATGAACAGGTTGTCACTCTCCCACAGGGTCCAATAAGAAGGATTTAGATTGTAGAAGTTAGCATTCACCTACTTAATATTTGTAAAAGATTTATTTACTTATTTGAGTGACAGAGAGAGAATATCTTCCCTCCACTGGTTCTCTCCCCCAAAACCCACAACTGCAAGGGCTTGGGCCAAACCAAAGGCAGGAGCCAGGAACTCCATCTGGGTTCAGAGGGTCCAAGAATTTGGACCATCCCAAACACACCACTGGGGAGCCGGATGAACAGAGTAGCCATAATTCAGAAAAGCACTCTGATATGGGATGCGAGTGTGACAAGTGGCAATTTAACCCACTGCACCACAATGTCAGCTCCATTTTCTAAACACTGTCAGCAGCCTTAGGACTGCTCTACACCCAAGTCACAAGACAAGATGATGAACAGGCATTCCAACAGGAGCAGAGATTCCTACACACCTGGTATCCAAATGTACCTCTGAGAACACAGGAATTTCCAAATTCAGGCAAAGAACATGTGAGCCACAGCAAGACCACCGGGGTCAGACCATAAGTACCAATCACGTGAAACTACATTCAGAAGGAAACTGCATCTATGACATCAATAGTGCCAAGTAATTAGGGTACACACGCTGTGTTACAAGGACAGAGGTGGCTCCTGGGGCAGGCTGCTGGGAGCCAGGAAGCCACAGCCTGCAGAAGCTGCCATCACTCACAGTCATGGCCGAAAGGATGTCCTCCGGTTCTCTCCCCGTCTTAGCCACTACAGTGAGCAGCAATAATCAATGTTTCACTTCACAGAGGCAGCACAAGCAGAAGCAGGAGGAAGTGAAAAGGGCAAAATCCAGGAAAAGGTACTTGCTGTGCAATGTTTCCTAGCATCAAATGTTTCAGTCTACTGTTTATAAAAATGTATGCAAACTATATGCAGATTTGCAAATAGCAATGCTAATTCTTGCAAAGCCTGCCTGCTTTCCTATCCTGGTCTCTGACCTTTGAAAGATCCAGTGCTTTAAAGCTGTGAGCAGCCAGACCTTGGTGGAGCCAGCCTCAGGCCCTTCCTTCTGTGCAGCCGGAGGCCATGGTCAAGCAATAAGGAAGGGTAAGCAAGGTAAAAGGACAGACTCAGGGATTCCTGTTCTGCCAGAGGACACAAGATGAAATGCTCAGGGGTGGGGAAGGAGGGCAATCCAGATTCTGAGAGAGAAAGCTTATTTGATCCACTCTTTGCTACTTAATCCAAAGTCTACGGAAGTGGTAACAGGAGCAAGGTGTACCAGATATTATCTGGGAGAGTAAATTACATATTCATGAAGTCACATTATACGTTATTGTTATGGGGTGCGAGTGAGATCACACCAGACATGTCTAAGGTTTTATTAAGGAGTCTTTATTAACCAAGCTTGTTGATGACAGAGCACACAAGAAATAGCAGATCACAAGTCCATATGGCAACCCAACCAATCATAATCCAACCAAACACAATCCAAAGAGGAATAAATGGTCATTATCCTTAAATCCATCCATTAAGCTAAAGACCTATGTCCCGGCTTCCCCAACAATATGTTATCCTAAGAGACACACAACAAATAACCTAGACACACTTACAAAGCTGCAGACATTCACCTTTCCCTGGCTTCTCTGCCCATATTCCATCACTGCTAGGCCTCACCTCTCCTGGAACTCCTGACAGTACACAGACCAGAAACAACATTATTATATCCATTGTCCTATCTAAGCACTGCACAGTGATCATGCTCAGGGGGTTACCTGTCCTGGGTCAGCCAAGAGTCAAGGTGCCAGAGCAACGGAAACACCTGACCAGAAAGAGCCCCTGCTTCATGAGCCTTTTAAAGGGGCTTGTGAGGGGAGTGGTTACACAATGCAATACCATCCCCTCTTGGTTGATAGGTGAGTCACAGGTGGGCAGGAGCAAATACCTAAGTGTTGTGAGTTAAGGAGTTAAGTGGCACTCATTGGGATGGGCAGGAACAGGAACTGGGCTTATAGCTAAAAAGACCTATTGGACTCATCTGCATCCAACATCCTAGCCAAATTAGGACGTGGGAGGAAGAGCATACAAGGAGAGGTGAAGGAGCAATCACTGGCTGCACTCTATAACATTCCCCACTTCTAACACCTGAGTCAAATCATTGATTCCGTCACATATAAGAGTTATTCTTTATTCCTTGGATCACTAGTATTTTTATGTGTGTGTCTTATCTGAGCACACTCCCCTGCTGTGTCACACAAGATGTGGAATTCTAACATATGGACACCCTAACAAAACATGCAAGGACAAGTAATTAGCTAGAAAATAATTGGCTTCTTGATTAAGCACTCTTAGCCAGAGAAAAGTATCATTATTGAACTATAGCAAAAAACTTCAGAAACTTGCAAAAATGTTCTCCCTTCTGCCGGCACAGGCACAGCATTTGGTTACTTTCCTAGTCACACAGGCTCAAAAATGCCCTTCAGGTTGACAGGTGGCTGCCCATGGCCTGCTGTCCATCCACTCCGCACAAAGCTCGGGGATGTCCTTCGGCCCAAGACTGTGATGTTCACTGCAGCCTGCTTGTTTTGTACACTTTGCTGCAAACGGTTTCCTGATGGGGGAGGTAGCCCTCCAGTCAGAGCTGCTCTGAGTAGCAAGCCTGAGGGCAGGTGCACATGCGTGCTTCCCCCAATGAGTTCAGGGCAGCTGCAGCCTACAGCCCACCAGCCATTCAGAGAGACTCCCCGCCTGGTGTGGCTCCCCCTTTCATCACAGCTCCCCCATCCTATCCCTCTGACACTCCCAATGATGCTGCCAATCAAACTGCCACACTCAATGACAGGCAGAAACCTCAAAGGAAAGCCAGGACCCAGTGAAAACCTCCTCTGCACGTGAGGAGAGGGTGTTCCCGAGCCCGGCACCAGACAGGAACAAAGGCTGTGCAGCGACACCAGCTGTAGAAGCCATCCATCATCATGCAAAGATGAAGAGGCTGGAAACCCGACCAGAGGGCACCTGTAATCATCAAGAGCCAGCGTGACACCAGATTGATGGCCACCGCTTTTAATTAGCTCCTCTTGTCTCAAGAGGTTTCCAGGGAGCTGATGGTTTGCTCGCAGCTCCCCTCCCCTGCTGCCATTTGCCTTCCTGGGTAGACAGAGCCAGTGCAGGCATCAGTCCCCTCCACAGTGAGCCCGCCAACCAATGGGCAATGCCCCACCCACACGCCCCACAGCACTGCACTGACCTTTCGCAGAAGGAAGCAGATGCGCTCAATGTTCCTCAGCCGCTCCCTCTGTTGGGATATACCAGAAAGAAGAGACAGAAAGTGAGGGGTCCTGCTACAAGAGGGGGAGAAGCCCACACCACCAACCCCAGTCACACACACAACCCCTCTTGGGCGCCCGGCCAGCAGGTAGCTTTTTCCAGCAAGTTCAGGCTTTCTTCACTCTACCATGTTACACTTATTTGCTGCCAACAGAACTCTCCTTCTCACCCAGCAAATTTTTGTGCACCTTCTCCTGTAGGCCACACCTCAGCCTCCAGGTCCATGTGAAATGGTCATCCTGCAGAATGGGGGCGGGGGGTGCACAGGCTCACAGAGCAGCACCCTGCAGCTGACAACTGGTCCTCCTGGGAGGACTCTCCACTCGGGTCTCAGATGGCATATGCCCCTCCATCAGTGCACAAGGTAGACCAGTTCTCCCCACTGACTTTATTTTTCTAAAGTCAGGACACTTGGAGTGAGTAACTTCTCCCACTAAATTAAAGACAGCACAGTGCCCCCAGACTATGACTTTTCAAGAAGTCCAAGTCCATCTCAGAGAGCTGATTTGATGCCCAGGGAGGAAGTCACACCACACACTCAGAGCTGTGGCCTCTCTTTTTCTGCAGACTTTCATGTTTTCCAAAGCGGCACAGAGCACAGCTGCGGAAGCTCCTGGTGCTTCATTACCCAGGCAATTTGGCTGCTACAGACATAGTGGTAATGAGATTCCTGGTGAATGTGGAGAAGACAGGTGGCTGGGCCCCTTCCAGTTCCCTAATTGAATCATCAGTGTAGTGACTCCTGTGCGTCCTGATGCCCAGAGGAAGCAGCACATCAGGACAAATCAGTGTCCAAGTGGCTAGCAAGACAGATATCATCCCACTTAGCACACGTGTGCAAGCACGCAGACATGTGTGCACACAGGTACACGCATTCACACATGTGTACATCCATGTGTGCTGACATGTGCACATGCAGGGACACAAATACACATGTATACACGACACACTGCCGTCCACTCTCCAGCAACACAGCAGTGCTCACAACCTCACAGTGCTGCTGAATATCCAGCAGGTCCAAAGGAAGGCAGACCTGAGGCACGAGCAGTGACCCTCGGCATTCCCCTCCCCTCCACTGCCACCAAGTGAGCGCACCAGGGAGCCCAACAATGTGTGGCCTTTGGGAGCATCTGAGATCTTGACATGGGCACGAGGCCTGACAGGGCCCTCGTCACCAGCTAGCAAAGCCTAGATTTCACGCCACTGGAGCCCGAAGCGCTGCGTTAGTGGCTCCACAGAGGCTTGGAGAACTTGCAGATGAGCTAAATGAAGCATCCAAACCATTTACTTCCTGCCAGGTATAAAGATCCTAGCATTTCCTAAATGGATGCTTTTCCATTTAGGGCTTTTACAGAGGGGGAAGGAAACGCTGCTTTTGTCTTTAGTCTCGAACACGCAAGTGTCTTTCCCAGGGTACCTAGGGTACCTACCCCTAGGGACTCTAAGCTAACTATGAAATGTCTGAGCTTCATGGGGCCTGGGCTCTTTAATTAACCTGTGAGCTAATCAGAAAGGTGGCCATGCCCATAGATGTGTAAGAGAACTGAATAGGATGTGGGACAGACTGGACCAGTCTGCTGCACATACTGGCAAGCTCAGGAACCAGGGCTGGGAGCAGGCCTGGTAGGGATTATCTGGGGGGTCACTCCTACTAGGCTACAGCTCCCACTGATGAATTTGAGGGCCAAGCGTGTAGTGGGCAGGATTGGGATGAGCCACAGCATCAGCTGGCTTGCATAAGAGATGGGGCTGGAGATAGAAATGACCCAGCAATTGTAACTACCAGTGTGTCCATCATCTGATGTGGGTGACAAAAGAGCCAGACCTCATACTAGCAAGCACTAACAAGAGTCAGGTCTGGGATCACTTCAGACAAAGTTTATTTAGGGATATCCCCAAATGTCAGGTGGACTCAGAAGAACTCCAACCACGAGGAGAATCATAACTCTGTGGTCTGACTGTGGAGTGCATATGTCAGAACTGGCCTCCTCAGTAGGTTACATGGAGCAGTGGACAGCAGGCCTAGATGCTCATGGAGCATATGGCAGTCCACTGGGGCCTGCAGAGGACTTCTAGTACCATAGCAGAAGATGGAGGGCAGAACAAATTGGACAACTATCCCAGCCAAGCATTGACAGCAAATATCGGGGCAAACAGAGACTCTAAAGTAGAATATGCCAGCCAATGGACCTTGGAAAGATTTCCTCATCCTTGGATTGGCAGTACAGATAGCATTTCAGAACTATCAAAACCACTTGAGCAGAACACTCGGAGCATGCTCCACATCAGGGACCCTGGGATGACATTAAGGGGCCATTCCCCATCCCTGGGTACTGAGGCAGTTATGAGGATGGGTGCAGCTTCTCCCCTTATGACCCCTCTTCCTCCAGATAAGGAAGAAGAAAAAAACAATCTAGAAACAATGGTCTCACCCACTTTCCTCTAACCTTCACCCTCCCCACCCTGGAAAACTATGTAAACATCATCAAAAATAAAAATAAATAACAGCAAAAAAAGAAAGGTGGCCTTAGAAATTGTAGTAGAAGAAAAGATCCAGTGTTGGTGCTACATGGCTGTACCCTCCAAAACATATTCATTCTTTCTTCAGCAAACACCTCTCATTCATGGAACAGCTACTGTGCACAATTTCTACTCTTACACTTGGCTTTGTACAGGAGTTCCAGGGAGTTTATCCAAGCCCTAATTTTCTATGTCCTGTCTAAACTAAGGAACTTGCCATGATAAGGTAGAAATGGACTCCATAAAAATATGTCTATGGTCCTGATCACCTCTAAGCCATGCGGAATTTTGGGAGATGAGCCCTGTGTGGTGGTACAGTGAATTAAACCGCCAGCAGTCACACCAGCATCCCCTATGCACATCAGTTCAGATCCAGCTCCCTATTATTGTACCTAGCAAACAACAGATGATGAAGATGACAAGCAGCTGGGCCCCTGACACCCACAGGAGAGACCCAGATGGACTTCCAGGACCCTGGCTTCGTTCAGGCCTAGCCATGGTGGCTGTAGCCATTTTAAAATGACTCTCTCTCTTTCAAATAAATAAATCTTTTTTTTAAAGGACACTGAACAACAGGAAAAAGTTCTTATGTAATATTTACTCTGCAATCACACAAGAATGCTCAGGCATTTTTCTATCTGTGCCACTTTTTTCATTATCTGAGACCAAGCATCTGGGAAGAGGGAAAGCAGCTCTGTCTTCCCTGGCATCTGAAACCAGAGTGTGTTCCCTGTCTCAGAGCAGCCCAGTGTACCTGCGAGGTGTCAACGAGCCAGGTGTGCACAAAAACATGAGAAGACGACACGAGGGCAAACCCTCTGAGATGAGAACTCCAACTCATCCCAGGGGTGGCTGGGAGATGCAAACAAACCTGAGTTTAACGATTTCAAGTCCTCCGAAAGACAAGCTGTGAGGTGGATTTTACAGAAGTGACTTTCAATGAGTGTGGCTCTATTTCCATAGAATCAAAGAATGTAGTGCTACAGGCACCCTCAAATGACACAAAAGCAAGTCTCATTGAAGAGACGACAGACTGGGAGGTAGGCACACAGGTTTCAGAGCCAGACAGATCCACGCTCAAATCCTAAGGATTGCTTATGAATGCCAAGATCCTGGCCAGGTCAGGCAGCATTGTGGACTGGAAATTGGCTCAAGGAACCTTGTATCAAGTGGCTTCTTTCTGAGGATTAAGCGTTGTTTATACTAAGTTCTTAACACAGAGGGAAAAAAAAAACTGAAAAAAAAAGTTACAATTCCTGTACGCATCGTCCGCTTTACAGACAAGGGTGCTGAAGCCCACCCTGGCCAACAACTAGTGGGACCTCCCTAGATGCTGCCCTTGGCCCTTGGGTGAGGATGAGGTTGGACATCCCCCAGGGTCCGAGGGCCCCACCCCAGCAAGTGTTCTCTCTACAGCTTCAAGTACCCACAGAGCTCCCCCTCTACTCCCTGCACCAATGCTTCTCCTTGCTTCTGCATCCATTTAGAAGCTCCCCCAAAGTAAGGCAGACAGGGGGGCTAGCATGCAGGGACTGACAGCGAGACAAACACAAAGACACTGAGAGCCACGTGTCCTGAGGCAGGTGGATCCCACACACTTAACCTGAATCAGAACTACCAGACCACTTCAGATTCCCCCAAAACATGAGCTGGCATTGGAACACTGCACTATCTCAGATCAACACATGCTGGGGCACCAGTAAAGTGCTCGGGGTTTTATATAGTGTCCTACCCATCAAATCATCACCTGGGAAACCTGGCACACAGAGAGGGATGCAGCCAAAAACCCCTCTCCTTGTTCAAGGACCAGTAACTGAAAACCAACAGACTCTTCCCCGGGCTCTTTGCGCTGTCAGCTTGACTTAACAGGACAGTTCAAGACCTCAGCAGGCCTGGAGAAGACTCCCCACTAGCATTGAGCTGCATAAAGGGGAGCACTCAGCAGGTAGATGTTCTTTATTCCTCCAACTCATTGAAGCCTTTATCCTCCATGCCAGGCACTGGTTAGCCTGTGGTGACATCAAGTTCTTGTCACTGTCCCCCCAATGACTTACCGCGTGAACAGGATTACACTGGTCTATGGGGCTCTTAAAATCTGTCCTTAGCTCATCAAAGGCAATTATCTGCAAAAGAATACAGAAAGCAGGCGTCAGTGCACAGGTGGGTCAGCTCATGTGTCCAAAGCATGAACCTGGAGGTTGGCTTCAACACGATGACAGAGTGTGGAAGAATGTTTGGACATAATGGGCTCCATTAGGAGATGGTCACCATTACAGCTGGGGACAGGCACATTGACTATACTCTTTCATCTGCTGTGCATGCTTCACATTCCCCAGGGAAAGCTTCTGAAGTCTCCTATGCTTTACTTGGATGTAGGGAAGGGCCGGGGTCAGGCCAGGGCAGGTTGGCAGGCAGATAAAGTACAGAGGTATTGACAGGGGGCCAAACAGGCAGAAGGTGGGCCAAAGAGACAAACCAAAACTCAGGAAGCAGCATTAGTAGGAACGGAAATGACCAACTCTCTAGAGGCCCATGGCCTGGACAACCAGCTCCCACACAGCCTTCTACAGCTCCACGAGAGCTCAGTCTGAATACAGACTTCCCAGACAAGAGTGGCTTCCCTATGTATCTGTCAGGGAGAGCTGTGCAAGTGATCTTTTCCAGTCCCAGAACACAACACAACACAACCCACAGGAAGAACCACCTTGGAGGTGAAGGCTCTCAAGTCCACAGCCTAATCCCAACCAACCTGTCTGCAGCAGGTGGACTACATGGTGGAACAAGGTGGCATCTGACCAGAGAAGTGGCTCTAGGAGACAGGAGGCCCCAGTTTCTCCCAAACTCATTACTCTTACAGCACAGAAATGAACAAAGCCAACTCCCCAGATGTGCATCACTGGGGGGCTGGGTATCCTAGATTTTCTGGTAAAACCACTGAAGCTAAAAAAGCCAGTTCAGCACCTCTGAGGGTCCCTGACCCAGGGACAAGGGACTGAGAGAGAGAACATCTGTCTACAAAGCGATCACAGAGGTAAGCACTTGGCCTCCGCATCCCACACCGTGGCCCAGCTCTGCTTCCCATTTCAGCTTCCAGCCAGTACAGACCCTGGAGGCAATGGGGGACGGTTCAAACACTTGGGTCTCTGCCACCCGCACACAAGACCTGGATTGAGTTATATGCTCCTGGGTTTGGATTCGACTGGGACAGCCCACACTATTGTAAGCATCTGGGGAATGAATTGGAAGGATAAAAGCAGGCTTGCACATAGGCCTCACAGAAAAACAGGCTCATCCATAGGTCATGTAGAGGAAGGGCTTGCACAGTAGGAATGGGGGTGGGAGAGAGGGAAGAATGAGCTGGCTCTGAGTCAAGAGAAACAAGGCTGGTACTGCCGGACAGTGAGACAAATGTCAACTAAACACATAGCAAGTGCCGGCAACTGTGCAGTGATGCTTTGACAGTCCATGGCTAACAGCGGAGTCTTTGCTTCTGTATCTGCCTGCCTGCTTGCTGCTAGTGCAGAAACCAGTGTTTTTATCCTAAAGCAGCTTGTGACAAGGGACCATCAAGACCCAACCTTTCAGGGGAGGCCCAGGTTGGCCGACGTCATCTGACTCAAAGAAAGGTTACTTCTTTTCTCACAAGAGGCTATGGGCTTCTTAGTGGTCTTATTTCCATAACAAGTCTACTGAGGGAAGGTATTTCTTTCTCTAAATCAAATAAATACAAATATATCAATATTTTCAAAAGACTAAGGAGAAAGCAATGGTCAACGTCTGAAAAGGAACAGAGTGGAACAAGACAACTACATGGGAGACGGACTGGAGTTTCACATCACTTTTGAAAATTTAATTAAATGAAGCGGTCAAATGCCATTCCAACTTCAATACTCCTACAGAATCAGAACACAACTCTGCTATAACCTGCACACAGTGTCCCCTGCCAGAGTTAACTATCCCACCTACAGCAGCAAGGAATGTACACTGGCCACCTCTAACTGTTCATCACTTTGCTTTATTGAACTGGCCCGTGACTCCTTGAAGCATCCAAGCAGTCTATTGAGCAAACTCTGGCCTACAGGCCACCTTATTCCACCACGTAGTCCACAGAGCAAACTCTGTGGCCTAGGAAAGCAGCAGAGGATGGCTCAAGTCCTTGGGCCCCTGCACCCATGTGAGAGACCTGAAGAGGCTCCTGGCTTCAGATCAGTTCAGCTCTACCTGTTATGGCCATTCTCTCTCTGTAAAAATCTATTTTTAAATAAAAATAAGTAAATCTTTAAAAATCTAACAGTAAGATTGCTCTTTGCAGTGAGTCTGTATGACTCTTGACCAGTGCAGTCACAGGAACTCCTCCTCACTCAACACACAGAACGGCAGGTTCTTGGCACAGTGGGAAACCGCCACTCTGGACGACTGGGCTCAAATCCTGGCTCCCCTCCCAACTCTAACTTCCTGTTAACCCACACCCTGGGCAGCAGCAGCGGAGGACTCAGGTGGTTGGGTCCTTGCCACCCATGCAGAATTCGAGTCTACAGGCTTCAGCCTGGCCCAGCCCCAGCTATTCTATATATTTGGGGGAGTGAGCCAGCTCATGGAAGTATGGAAGTGGGGAGTGTTCATTCTTACCTCAAATGAGAAAAAATTTTAAATAATATAGAATGGTTCCACCATTCTATCACACCTCAAAAAAAAAACACAAAGCTGCCTCCTGTTGCCCCCTGGGAGTTAATCCCCACGCCTAACCCCCTGCTCCCTGATCAGTACTCACTCCTGTTCTCCAGCCCCATGGTTTTGCCTTTTCCAGAAAGTCACATCAGTTGGGGGCCAAGCAGTATAGGGGCACAGGAGTCCTTCCTCCTTCTGATGTGACATACTCAGGGCTCACCACACAGTGCTGTCATCAGCAGTCAACTCCTCGGTCTGCTGAATGAGACACCAGGAGTAGATGAGCTACACTCTGTCCATTCATTCACCTGCTGAAGGATGTCAGGATTGTACCTAGACTTTGATCATCATGAATAAAGCTGCCAAGAGCATTTGCATAAAGGCTCGTGTCTAACTGCTACTGCATGCCTGGGAAGGCATTGCAAGACAGCTCAAGCACTCGTGTCCTTGTTGCCCATGTGGGAGAGCCAGGTTAGAGGTTCAGGCTCCTGATTTCAGCAACAAATGGGCAGGCAAATCTGAGGAATGAACCAGTGGATGGAAAATCTCTTTCTCTGCTTCTCCCTTTGTTGTTGCCTTTCAAATAAATAAGAAATAATAATCTTTTTTAAAAATCTATGTTCAGGCCCAGCAGCATGGCCTAGCAGCTAAAGGTCCTCGCCTTGAATGCACCAGGATCCCATATGGGCACTGGTTCTAATCCTGGCAGCTCCACTTCCCATCCAGCTCCCTGCTTGTGGCCTGGGAAAGCAGTTGAGGATGGCCCAAAGCCTTGGGACCCTGCACCCATGTGGGAGACCTGGAAGAAGTTCCTGGATCCTGGCTTCGGATCGACACAGCACTGGCCATTGCGGTCACTTGGGAAGTGAATCATGGGATAGAAGATCTTCCTCTATGTCTCTCCTCCTCTCTGTATATCTGAGTTTCCAATAAATAAATAAATCTTTAAAAAAAATCTATGTTCCAATCATTTGTTCTCCCTACTTTTAATTTAGCAGGCTGATTTCTGATTGGTCATTTTGGAGGGTTCTTTGTGTGTGTCGGATACAAGCACCTGTCAGTCACGCACTTAGCAAGCATTTTCCATTCTGTGGCCTGTCTGCTCATGCTTAGCAGGTTTGTCAGAGCACATTTTGCATTTTCACACATTTCAGCTCATCTCATTTCTGCTCCCCTTTAGGATTCACACCTTGGGTAATGCAGCCCAGAATCCTTTTGATTATACGAACTTGCAGGATCACAAAGGTTGTCTCCACTTTTCCCTAACACCTGGAGTTTTCTCTGTGGGAAGGTTTCCAGCACAAATTCAATTTCCTTATACATGTAGTACTTGTCTAGTTATCTGTTTCCTGTTTCACGACGTTATGTCAAGCATCTGGTCCATTTCATCACAGTTGTCAAATTCACAGATTTATATTCAAAACTACTCTTAGTCCTTATTTCTCCTTCCTTCATGAAACATCTCTCCTGCTTTTTCTTCAGATTTTCTGATAGGGATGTGTTCTGTTTACAGCACAGATTGCAGCAATAGGCTCACAGATATGCGGTTGTCTCTAAAATCATTAAGCATCATGCAATACACAAACACAGCTTTTTAGTCAAGGCTCCAGAAAAGATTAGAATTGGAAACAACAGAGCCATGGGGACCAAGCAGGCAAAGCTGTTCTTCCACAGGATGCTTGACCATGACCCTAGAGAGCCATCATGTCCAGGATTCCCTTGGGGTAGGCCCTTGCCTGAAAAAGCAGGGCCAAGATGAAGCGTCGGGCTGGCACCAGAACTCCTACAAGAGATGATGCCAGCAGGAGAGAGAAAGGAAGACACTAAGACCCTTTGAGGACGGCCCATTGGTGGTTCCTGGAGGAGAGATCCGGAAAAGAATGGAGCTACCGTAGTCAGACCCTGCTCTTGCCACCACTTGGCTTGGGCTGGTACATCCCCAGATGCCCTGCACCAGCCCTCGGGCCTCGCCTCTCTACTCACCCAGATCCACAAAGCAATGATTTGCTGCAAATGAAGCCTGGGATGAAAGGCCTGGAGCACCAGCTGTCACCACTTGGGTCTGCCCAACATCTGCACTGCCTTCCTCCGCCTGCAGCCTGGACCCGACCGAGGAGGAAAGGAAACAAACCCTCAGAGGCTTCCTTCATCAGGGATAGGCATTTAGAATCAAACACAAAAGTGATCTTGCCAGTCTACAAGAGCAACTGTGCTAAGAATCGGCAGGTTGTACCACAGGAAAAGCAAAACAAAACCTTGGGAGAACCAAATGGCGGAATAGGGTAAGGACATGTTTAAACAGCCAGAGAAATATTAGCCAGTGTGAAGCAGAGAGGACACATTCCAGCAAATAAGAGAGGACAGAACAACAGCAGAGGGGTACCTGGAGACTGACAGACACAGGAAAACAGTGGACACAACAATGGTGTTGCAGTAACTGATCAGCGGCATTCAG